TGGGAGCTCAATTCCTGGCCAGAGAAGATTACTTTCGTAAAAACATTAGCAGTTAGAAGATGTATAAGACGTCGACGCCACTCTCGGCATAATACTGTTGGCAAAAAGCAAAGTGGCCATGATATTTTTATCAATAAGATGGATGCACAATGCACTAAAGTGAGAGTTTGTAAGTTATTTTTTTTGAATACGCTTTGCATTGGAGGAGATAGTTTCCGTCGGTGGACTAAGGAGTGCGATATGGTACAAGAAAATTGCAATGAAGGGACTTCTTCAAATACGTCCTCATGTTTACGTGTTATTGTTAAAACAGGAAGGAATGCAGAATTGTCAAAAACTGTTAAAACATGGCTTGATATATTACCTAAGGTACCTAGTCACTATTGTCGATCAAGTACAAAAAAGTTTATGTAGAATCGACGTTTCGGTCTGAACTCCACATGCATGCAGTTTTTAAGGATTGGTGTGCTGAATAGGGATACAGGGCTGCTTCTAGAAAAACTTTTTCGAAGGTGTTAACAAATAATAATATTGGTATTCACCATCCGCGCAAAGATCAATGTGACACGTGTTGTAGCTATAAAACGGGCAATATTTCTCAAGCAGAATATGATATACACGTAGCAAAGAAGGAAGAAGCCCGTAATGCCAAAAAGATTGCTATAGCTAGTGCAAATGAAAAGGTTGTGGTTGTAACAATTGACGTCCAAAGTGTTTTGCTTGCCCCGAAATTATTGGCAAGTGCTTTGTACTACAAGTTGAAGTTACAATGTCATAACTTTACTGTTTATGACGTTTCATCTAAAAATGTTACAATTTACTTCTGGCACGAAGCAGACGGTAATGTTACTGCAAATGAATTCACATCTTGTTTGGTGGATTACTGTGAAAATTTACCGACTTCAGTTGAGCGTATTATTATTATTTCTGATGGATGTGGTCATCAAAACAGGAACCGAATTTTGTCGAGTGCCTTGAGTGATTTGGCACAGCGAAAGAAAATAACTATAGAACAACTCTATTTAGAAAAGGGGCACACAATGATGGAGGTCGATAGTGTTCACTCCACTATTGAACAATACATAAAACCTCCAATATACGCTCCCAGTGATTACATAACCCGGATGAGACAAGCACGACCACAGAAGCCCTACGATGTCAAGTCGATTCATTACGACTTCTTTTTAAATTTTGAAGAGTTGGAATCGAACCTGAAATCCATTCGGCCTGGTAAAAAGAAGGGCGATCCCGTAGTGGTTGATATCAGAGGTCTTCAGTATTTACCTGATGGAACCATACTTTACAGGTTGAGACATTTTGCTGAGTGGTCCTTGCTTCAACAGCGAAGAAGTAACCAAAGAAATGGTTTTGTGTCACTAAACCGATTATATGCAGCTCCATTAAAAATAACAGAAAGCAAATTCAAGCATTTGCAGGATCTTAAAATGGTAATTGATCAGGATTATCATCCTTTCTATAATAATTTACAATTTAATCCAGGTACTTAATGGATAAAAAGCACCCTACCTACAAGGAATTGATCAATTCCTTTATTTATTTATATAACAAATAAATAGCTATTTTATTGAAAACTGTGTATTTTTAATTTCAATTCCTTAGCATATTTTACTTCAAAAACTCTAATGTGAAACAATACTCGCAACCAAAACCTCACAAGTGGTGCATTGAATAATTTTTATTTTTTTAAACAATACCATTTTATTTTATCAAAATAATGTTTGCAAAGTAATAAGCATAAAATCCTCTAATTGTCGATTGTGTTATTTCTTAGAGTTAGTTTCTTTATATTTTTTTCAGTAGATACTTTTTATCAATTATCTTTTAAACATTCATTTTACACATATGAGGTATTAAAGTCACAACGACGATAAGGAAGATTTAAATAGGGCAGTTTCGGTAGTGAAATATAAGTCACGATATTATATTTGAAAACATTAACAATTGTGGTCTTCCTATAAGATAATAGCGCAATAACCCATACTATATGAATTGACAATTAATCAGTTGGCTGACCTGTGATAGAAGGTCATCCTGTTAATTGAATGGCGCCTTTTAATTACAGGGCTAGCCGCGCAATTGGATGGCTGTTTAATTACTTGGCTGCGACATACAGGGAGGAACAAAATGACCGACACAGCCGAAAGTTTCAAGTTAGGCTACATGCTAACGTTCATTTTATTTGACAAATATTTAAAAATAGAGGTGTAAAAAAGGATTAAAAATTTTAAATTTCTAAGTGTTGACAGCCCTTTAACGCGCATGCGCATTATAGATTGTGCGCAAATTACAACGGACCGCGAAATACATTCATTTAATTTAATTATTTACCGATATCTTAATGATAGTCGATGCTGAAAATGTTCAATTCTTCTCTGAAGACAGCTAAGTACGCTCTTTTGCATGCCAGTGTATGCACGCGCAAAACACATCACATTTCACACAAAACTAAACACAATCTTCACTAAACTAAACTTAACACTCAAGACGAATACTCTAGTATCTTATTAACAAAAAATTTATTATAAATGCACTAGAACAAAACAAATATCGACAAAAAAGACGCTTCGCAGCGGTGCGTCGGCGGCGATGCGCAACAACAGTCCAACGCAAAAGGTCGGCGGCGACTGATCGGCCGGACAATACCAACAGAATAATGAAGCCGGCTGGCGGGTGGGTGGGGCTTTGATATTGAGGGACGAACTCAGTTCATATTTTTTTTATTTGTCTTTTGATATCACGCATTTTTAATGTTCTTTTTAAATGTTATTTTAATAACAAATTCCTCAATGTTTTTAAAACAAAGTTCATTTGTGTTAATGATGAATCGCTGGAAGATTTGTGAGTTTATCGAGTTTAATTAACGATCCTGTTGTTAAAGGAGTATTACCCCATTCAACCAATTTTTATGGAGAACTGCTCTTTTAAAATAACGTAGGTTAATGTTAGACTGATCTCTCTACAATAATTTAGGAAATTTTACACTCGGTTTCTTAATTGAGTATTTAAAGTTAAACGTCTCAAACTAACATCACTTAGTTTTCGTTTCCGATTTTAGTTTTTTGATGATCAGTTGATAGCAGTCTGATAAAATTAAGTCTATTTGACTTGTGAAATAAAAAAAAAACTTAGGTTATTGAGAATAAGCAGTAGAAATTTTCTACTTTTTTCAAATCATAAACCGGCTGTTAGTCTGTAAATCGATTTAAGCATTTTGACTGCCTTGTTTATTGATTGACTGATAGAATTTGCATGAAAGCAGTCTTATAAATCACAAACTAGTTTATTTCGTTTTTAGAAATGAAGAAGTCAATGACCGATTAAAAACTTTTCCTTAGTACGACCCAAAAACAGCTGACTCAGGGTTGAAAACACTCATTTTTTTCAAAAACTTTGTAATTTAATATCTCCGTAACTATTTGACCTAGACTTATAATTTTTTTTTACATCATATTAAAGACAAATAGTACTCTCCAGGAACCTCGGGAGTGTCGGTCGTTCTGTTCCACCGAGTATACACGACATAGGTATATCGGACAGCGTTTTCGCGGATATAAATTCGATTTAAGGCAAGAAAAACAATAGAACCTAACTTAAAAAAGTAAAAAATAATATATCTGAAAAGCGACTTATTCAAGAAAATGCTATTAGAGTCGGGCAGAGGTTTTCTGTAATTTGTAGACGCCCGATTTCAATAAAATTATCTTGAATAAATTTCCCTTTTGAGATAAAGTATTATATTTCATTTTTTTAAGTTTAAAGTCGGTTATTTTTTTTTTATTTCATGCTTTTTAGCGATACGGATATTTTTATATAATTACTTGCACTAAAAATATTTTTCTGAAAATCGTGATAAAGAGCGAACCTCTATTTTTTAGTATGTTATTATAATTAAAGCATAACGGTTAGTTGCACGAACATCCATTAGTGTTTAATGACGCCTTTAAGCTCTAATGAATGTCAAATTTGTATCGGTAATGTCTCTTTAAACTAATGAAAAATTCAATGGACGTTTGTGCAACTGGCTGTAAGTCTGACATTTACTATGCTCAAAATTGTAATGGGACCACTCGGCAAGCACTAGCTTTCAAATAAAAAAAAATTATCAAAATCGGTCCACGCAGTAAAAAGTCGTTTAGAAATGAGTAAATTTTCCGAAATATTTGTTTTATGGCTCATTCAAATTAACATAAACGCTAGTACTATTTCAGAGTAGAATACCCTATTGTTGTAAATTACTTAAGCTTTTTAACGTTTTATGAATTCATATTAATATGACTTCAAGGTTTGAAGGAAAGCTTCATAAGTATTACAGTTTAGATTAAAAGCTATAGCGTGGCGCTGGCAGACAAGTAAGCCCAGCAGTGCCACATATCTCATAAAGGTACTTACTTTATCATTTACTTTAGCCATTTATCGCCGACATGTCATACATAACGGATGAGAACTTGAAAACTTTTTTGGAATCTATATATAGTATAAAACAAAGTCGCGTCCCGCTGTCTTTACGCTGCGATCTTGTAACGGACTGATAATGAACTTATTGGTCCAGATTTCATTTAAAAAATCCATGAGAGTATTACTGAAAGCCTAGTGACAGCCGAAATTCTACAAGAGAGAAGGAACTAAATAAGCCATGTATACGCCATTAAAAGACACTTTTCCTTTAAGATACTTTTTTCAGGCTATCATGAATGAGTGTTTAGGGTTTTTATCGAAAGCATTTTTGCTGCTTGTACAAATTGGGTTATCTTGGATAATTGCCAAATATGTTAGTGTACATTCTGGGTTGGGCCAAGCTAGCCTAGAGTGAGCACTATCCCATACCCTTATTTCTTATTAGTTCATGACTTAGGCAATATATTTATTAAAACATCTGAAAACATAGTATATTATTATAGACATGCACCCAATTTGCAATGGTTACCAACCAAATTCCATGATCCATGAGTAGACACCTACCAGTAAGGATAATGTTAGATTAAGGATAAATAAAATTATCACTTAAATAGAATCAGATTGTCTTTTTATGATTTTTCATATTACAGTATGTATCTACAAAAAAATCAGTATTATTTTATGACTTATGTTCATTCAGTGTTTTTAGTAATTCGTCTGCTTCATCTGCAGTTTTGACTCTGATGAGTATAGATGTTGGGGGAGGTTTTGCATCTGGGGTAGGTATACAAATCATCATTACATTATTTTTTCCCATACGTTGTGTTGGGATGGCCGAAGCTAAAATTAAGTTGACAAGGACATTGCCCAAGTTTGTATTAGCACGAACAAGCAACTGATATTTACCTGTCTCTTCAATTTTTTTAATGTAAAGTGTACCAACACCTTTGTCAACAAAGTTTCCATCTTTTTTAACAAATATTTTACATTTTTTATCATATACACTATTTTCTTCTACAATAGGTTTATACTCCACTTTTGGTGGTTCATCTTCATTTGTTTCTTCATTGACATTATCTGTTTTTTCAGTAACAGGTTTTTGAATGTTAGAATTGAAACTAAATGGCTTACCTATTCCAAAAGAAAATTGTGTGCCACCATTAGAATTTACACTTGATATGCCTGAAAACAAACTAGTGGTTGTGGTTGTTGGTGGTGAGGTACTGATACCAAATGAAAACCCTACTGTGGTAGCAATATTTGAAGTATTATTGGTTATACCAAAAGAAAAATTTGGTTTGTCTCCAAGGGTGGGTAGACTATTTTGATTAACAAGTTCTGAAGCTTTGGGATTAAGTACTTCTGGTTTTGATGATGTCATAATTATACTATTAGAAAAGGCAGAGGAACATTTAGTTGATTCTTTTTTATCAGCATCTAAGCAATTGTTAATATTATTCTTTTCGGGTTCTTTTGCTCCTCCTTGATATTCTTCTTGCATTTCTTTCAAATATTTTTCATAATCTTTAAATATTGGTGTTAATATACACAGAGGGGTTTCCTCAACATGTTTTTTTATCCAATCAGATACTGACTCATTCAATCCCTTTAACTTGGCATAGTATTTAAGTTTTTTATCATCATTTACATTACTTGTGTTATTATCAGTTACACTGGGTTTAGGAATGGTTGTTGAAGTTGTTCCAAAGCTGTTGAGTGCCATTGTGGAGCTAGAGACTGGTTGAATTTTAAATGGTGTTGAAGTTGTCATTGAGAATAATGACTTGCTAGCACTGGCATTTGTTGTAGATACTCCAAATAATGTAGAAGTCACTGGGGACGGAATTGCATTTGATGTAACATTTGTAGTTTTACATGCGTCTAGTTTACTGACTTCAGTAGTGCTTGAAATAGGTTGACTTTTAAAAGGCGAGTCTCCGACAGTAGAGTCTGCTTTTGTGGCAGTGAATATTGATGTGGTAGTTTGTGTATTGGTAGATGATACTCCAAATATTGAGGAAGATTGAGTTGGAATTCCAAATGTTGTACCAGATGCTGTTGAGGTTACTGTGCCGAAAATTGGGCCACTAGGGCTGCTGGATAGTGGATTATTCGAAAATAAACTTGAAGTTACAGTTGTTTCACTTTTGTTTGGTGAAACATTATTTTTGTTGCCATTAGTCAAGTTAGCCAAAAAATCAAATGATGATGTTGGTGCCTTGTTAAATCCTCCGAAAGCCTTAAAGACGCCTTTGTTACCCTAAAAAATATTATCAATTTGTTATTATTATAAAGAAAAAAAGTGTGTACAAAAGACCATCAAACCACGAAAGACGAGCTAATTAACAAAATTAAATTCATCACAGAGATAAAAATTCAATTCAGTTTATGAAAACATTCGATATCTTGTTTTTATATTACAATCAGTACATGACTGTGACTTACATCTTCACTTGAAATCTGAGAACGCCTTTTAGCAGTCCTGATAATACGTTTTTCTAAAATATCTTTTGATGCCGCCTTGAATGTACCCATTTCTTCATGTTCAGAAGGATCATCCTGATCCCAATTTTCATGGTTTAATTCTGACGTCGCTGCTCTTTTCGATGACATTGTTTCTTTTGAAATAAGCAGCTCTGTCCAGTTTTATCGTAAAGTATTGACTTCTTATTTTGATAGATATACTTTAGAAACTATCTTATCATTTTTTGCGAGTAGATACACTTAATAACGCTTTTATGTACATTTCCAAACCTCACAAAACTAAATACCACCATAGAGCCATAGAGTATCTCTAACCGGACCACCGCCAGTACTGCCAACTATTATAGTCTTAGCAAAAACGCACTGTAAGCTCTACAAAAAAGGGCTAGAATGCGCTAAAATTACTTTTTAGGAACAAGCGCTAGATTCGCGCCAAACCACAAATGAAGTTACAATGAGTACCTACCTATTTTGATTAGGGATGTGAGATTAATAGAAAATAATAGATTTAATAAAAATCGATTTTCTTTTATAAATTATAAATCGATTTATCATTAATCGATTTTAATGAAAATAAATAATCGACTTTTGCGAAAAAAACGATTTTTTTTTTCTATTATTTAATATCCTACATGCTTTGCATATTCCAATAATAAACCTAAAAGATTCATATTAACAATTAATCAGATTAAAAAAAAAAATAATATGAATAAAAAAATTGACAATTCAAAACTAAAAATCAAAGAATATGTTCTTTTAAACTTTCAAGGTAAGGAATAATAAAACCAAATATCATTATTGATAGAAATTCTCAGTATCTTTAAACGTTATATAATAATAAAAATGAGCACCCCAACAAAATGACAACCTTATTGTCGCAAAAAATTAAATATAATAATAAAAAAAAAATCGTCATGAATGTAAATGTTTAGTTTTCGATAAATATCAAACATCGATGTTGGACTTACGATGATGATATCGATGTCAACATCGATGTTTTTCTAATGTCGATCATATATACCTACATACCTACAGATGGCGCCGTTTTTATATAATCAACTTTTAAGTAATAATGCTTCGAGTTTTTTCATTTGGCGCATAGATGATGCTATTTATGAAAATCGATTTAACCGCGCAATTTATTTAATCGATTTGTTAAAAATCGATTAATATGACATGGAAAATCGATTATAAATACGATTATATTAAAATAATAATCGATTATAATAAAAATCGATTATTTTTTAACATCCCTGATTTTGATGAAATCTAATGTGACAGTAACATAAAATGAAACAACGATACATGAAATCGTTGTTTAAACTATTTTTTTGTGATAGCTAGAGGGCATACAAGCAGACGAAATGATTGTTGAATATGAACGTTAAAAATATTAATAATACACCAGGCCAGCAGGTAAATATTTTTGTTTTTAATAAAATCGACAACTTATCATTTTTATAATGAAATAACAATGACAAAAGAAATATCTTTTTTATAATAAAATAACAATGAGTTAAGAATCAATGAGGAAGTATTTAAAAAATAAAAATTAGTTCCCGAAATCATACAAAATGTCACTCGCGATGTAAATTAAAATAAATTGAGTATCAAAAATTAATAAATATGACATCGCTTTGTGTTAATTATAATATCTAACTTATAAATTAATTTTAATTAATTTAAATCGTAAGTTTAAATTGTTTATTGTGTTACGTGTAAAGGAACGATGTTTGGCTTATACGTCAATATTAGTGATGAGCCAACTTATTGGTTGCTCTTTACTTTCATCCGAATTTAGGTTTGGAATGATGAACGAAATTAATTTAAAGAAAAAAGTGGAACGCAGAATTCAGCTAGTATTTGTATGTGTCATTATGCATCCACACGAATGCTATTAATATTAATATCAAAATCAATTCAGTCTAGGCTGTTACATAGTACTTGTGAAAGTCAAAAACTTTGCCAATGGTTCGAAAAACTAAAATGGAGGATCTTGTTCTGACAAGAATCAGCAAGAAACTCAGCAAAAGCTGCTTTTTTAATTTCAACAATATAACTATACTATATTTGAGGGAACGTAACAATCTAACGCACACGACACGGCCGCAGAGATTTTAAGAGCGCATGACTACTCTAGGTACTTAATAAATAATATATTTCAATAAAACTGATTTCTAGCGTAGGTGGTGTAGGAATTCAATATATTATTAACAATATTATTGTAAGAACCAAAAAGCACATACCCACCGTACGAATAACTTAACACATGGCTCGACGTCCGCCGTCGACATGCATGATTAGTAGCAATAGTATAATAACTGAACGTGTCTTTATGATTTTGAAATTTAAAGTTATAACCTTTAAATTTCAAAATCACAAAGACACGTTTAGAACAGACGTTTCTTGTTGATTGTTGAATTTTTATTTTATTGTGAATAAAAGATTTAATAACTGATCACAGTTTTTTAAGTCTTAAGTTCGAAAGCACAATTTATTTCCACGTTACACTTTGCACAAACCTCATTTTAGCCAGAAGTCATGTTATTTTGTACGATTACCTAGTATACTCGTATTTGATACATATCGGGTACATAGATAATAAACGTATTTTTATTATAATTATCGTTTTTATGATTTTTGTTGCTGATTAATAAACCCTATTAATTTATTCACCATACATAATATAAAAATATTTTAGAAACTTGATGTAGTTTTGTTGTTGTAAATTCAACAAACAACTAATAGCAATAAAACTTACTTACCTAGTTGTTATTGTTTTTAGAACTTTTGTAATGAAAAGTTACTAGACCTACTATGGCATAAGAATTTTATTTATAAAAACTATTTGGCGGTAATATTATTGTATACTGTAGCTAAATACCACTTTTAATAATATCACAGCATTAATTCAATTGATTTCTGAAATTTAAAAAAAAAACTTCTGTGCTCACTTCCATTATGTTAGTGTCCATTTTCCTCTATACAAATAAAAAAGAAATTTATTTAAAGATTACTTTGTATTAATCGAATTGTTTTTGCATAACTCGAACTAATTAAATTTCAACTCGATATTAATCCGTGTTATCAGATCCATAACAACACTGACAGTTCTGTTCTCTTTGGTTTAACAATTTGTGCTGCCATCTAAGGACATAAATTTTTGTAGTTTCTTTATTTTTTTTTTAAATACCTACTTCCTCATTGAAGTTACGAGCAATCAATAAGTTGGCTCATCATTAATGTTGACATATAAACATAGAGATAAGGTAGAGTGGAAATATTTTCTATGGTTATATAAATATCATGCAATCTGAAGTTGACATCGAAAACATCATGTTGTCTTTTTTTAACTAATAAGAAGTTTCTTTAGTAAACAAAGATCGCACTAGTGTGACAGTTCAAAATTTTTTACGTGACGTCATGACATATAGCTATCGTACCACCTGTCCGCCATTTGCAAAGTTGCAGTGCGTATTCTCGGAAGTAGTTCAGCTGTCAGTGTTATAAGTTTTGTGGTTATTTTCATTTATAACTTTAATTTATATAACTTTCATGGCAGAAAATTGTAAATTATTTATGCAAAACAATGCCTAGGTGCAGTGTAATTGGTTGTGCGTCATCGATATCCCGCAAACCGAGCAATATTACGTTTCACCGGTAAGTTAAACACTTTCTTAGAAAAACAGTATTTAAAACGTAAGTAAGTTATTCTGAAAATGATTGCGTGTATAAATCGATACATATCGTATTTTGGCGTGTTCTTTTTATGTTATATTGCTCTTTTCGTTTATATTTTTATAATATTTCGGTCCGTAAATAATGTTGTTTACATGGCTAGTGTTGTTACTTTAACATTTGGTTTATATCGATAATTTTATTATTTAAAAATATATTCATTATTTTAGATTACCAAAAGATGAAACAAAAAGAGGAATATGGCCGAGTTCCATTGGAGCAGAAAATATTAAATATAATGAAAAAGTTACTTTTATCTGCTCACTTCATTTTAGGGAAAGTTGTTTGGATCGAACTTTAAATATAATAAAATTACGAGATGATGCATTGCCAATCAAATACGCTGGTAAGAATTTTTGACAATTGCTTTTAACTTAATTTTACAATTTTTTTGTCTATTACACTTAGTTAATTTTCATTTGATTTTACTGATTTATTTATTTAGTTTTTTATATAGTCATTTTGTTATTCTATAAATGTACCTTATTTTTAGTCTTGCGGTCATATGACAACTATTTTAATTGAAAAAAATCAGAATGCAATATATAATAATATTAAAATATAAAATTCTGATCATAATATACTCCCAGTAAAATTACAATAAAATGAGTTAAATAATTTTAATAAAAATTTAAAGGTTTTCTTTGCTGTTCAATAGTATAATCTTAATACCCAAATAATTATTTTGCGGCGTGGCTGTTTATTTTGCTGATGCATCATAAAATACGCTACCTTTTTGTATTTAAATTGCTGACCGTTATCATGATTGTTCACAGAATATGAATTGCAGACAGTTTTAGTGCTGAGAAAATATTTGTATGCTTGCCCATTGATTTATCGGCTGTTTTCTTTTTGCTAACCAAATTTTTAGATAAAATGCCAATTGTTACTTTTTTATAAATTATATCACTTTTTCATCTACCAACTTTGTTTTCTTTATTTTCTCTTGTTTATTCATCAAAGTTTCTTTTACAAATAATATAACACAAAGATTATGTAGGTGTTTCAAGTTTTCTATGTTTACTACTAAACAAGATACTCTGAACTAAAATTGTGACACAGTACGCACGGTATCTCACTTAATGAGGAGTAAGCGAAATTTATTCAGTCAATACAATTTATTGAATAAATTTATAGACAAGTTGGCTTACTAGTTACAAGCATATAAGAAAGTCGAAACTCTGTGCTTATAGTTCTTAAATCTATTACGGGAAACCTTGTACCGAGAAAAGAAGAAGGGGAACCGGTAAGAAACTGCAAGTGCTGCTTTTGCACCCTGTTTAATTTCGTACTGAAAAATAAAAAATGACTTCATTGCACCAAAATGTCACTTTCCACTATAACAATAAAAAATATATAACAGACAAAAAAAAACCTAATAATTCATTCGTCAATCGACTCATTTAAAGCTTATTATAGTTACCGTGGCAGTTATCTTGGACAGTGGTCACACTTCCCGTGATACAAAATTAAACTTATGTTAAAAAAAACTATTTAATTTTAGTTGCAAAATATCAATTTTACAATATATATGGAAATAATTATAAAACACGATTGATATTATTGTTAAACTTTTAAGATATATATTTTGGATATATATATTTTATTATAAGATATATATTATCTATAGTTCTTAAAACTACGTAAAATTGTCTATATTAGAGGAAAAAGAAACATATTTATCGAGGTACAATCATATTATAAAATAATATTTATATAGTATAAATATGAAATCTATTTAATTAATAATAATCATAAATAGGATTGGTACGTAAGTGTGAAATGAATAGAAGTATAATAGGTAATAGTTTAGCCATGCCCCTAACAATGGAAATTATATTACTTTATTTAATAAGTAGTTGTTTTGTAGCAGTTTCACGAAATACTAACTTTTATTTAATATGACTTCAATGTCGATACAAATATCGATATCATGGGTCGCGCCCTATGACAGTCCGCCATCGAAGAATTTGCATTTCAAATTTAGGCATATACGCTTTTCTCGTAGGTATGGCCGGTCCTCTTCTTTTATGTCTATGCATATAAACCAAACATCGTTCCTTTCCACGTAATATAATAAATAACTGAAACTTACGATTGAAATAAATTAAAATTAATTTGAAGTTAGCAGTAGCGTAGCTAGGTAACCTTTTTTTTTTTTGTTAACGCAGGGGAAATGCACCTTAAGCCTCAAACCTGGGCTCCTCTTCCACCCTGCCCTGAAAAGGGCAGGTTAATGTGGAAGCCCTACCTGGTAAAACCCGCTGCGGTTCACCTCACGCGAAATAAGGAGGAACCCGGTATCCTGCAAGGAGGGCCCGGTAAAAAAAAGCCTTCCTTCTCGGATTCGATCACTGGGTCACGAGTCTCTAAGTGAGCATTTTTGCGATCCGCCGCTTACTGACGTAGCTAGGTAACCTAGGGCCCTGGGGCAAATAAAAAAATGGGGCCCACTGCTATCAAAACTGGTAAGGTTATTGAAGTAAAATCATTAAATATACAAATACTTAAAAATGCTAAGCAACTTTATCATCAGCTCTTTTTCGTGCATGGGCAGGTAATAAAAATATTAAACACTAACATCATAAATTACAAATATTTTAATACTTGGTGTAGGTATTGGGCAATAAAACGAAATAGAAAAGATTCAAGGGTTTATTTTATATTTATTAATTCATAGATACGTTGCACCAGCTTACTGTTATTTAACCTATCACCATGCAAGCTATTTACAAAGATTATCAACAGAAATATTTTCTCCAGAAGTACTTGCAGAAGGCTGACTAAAAACTTGTCAATTTTGGGCATTTTTTGTTTACTTTCTTCTCTTTCTTGGCGTTGTTTGCGTTTAAATGTACCACTGGGTTTCTTTTTTTTTGTCCTTATATTAGTTTTCTAATTTATTTATGCAATATTTATGTAAGATTGTACTCAAGTAGGTACTCACTGTTCACTGACAACGTTACTAGTAAAAAGAAAGCGAAACGTAATGATACGATACAAGACGTCGTTGGGGAATCCCCGGCAAACATTTTATCGTCGCCAGTGTTACCACAATTGACGGTTTAAAAAATGACAAAAAACATCACGCAATTAATGGACGGCCCCCTACCGCATGTGACTTAAATTTTTCACGGTATTTTGAGTTATATAGTGAGTAGCAGAAATCTATAGATTTCTTTACGTAACTATGTATACGTACTATAATCAAATAAAATTGAACTTTTGTATGGACCAGTACAAAAAATTTATTGACATACGCTTACTTACTCCTGATACATTAACTTTTTAACCATTCTCGAAAAAAAATCTTGACGAAGTTCACAATCGCGAATCACAAAAAACGCATTTCGATAAATAATAATATGCAGATATCCTTTTATAACTTATATTCCCTTTTTATAACTTTGGAATTTCTCACAACTGAGTTGCCATGATTTAACTCGAGTTGGCACCTGCCATATTTATTTTGAAAATGGGAGAAATTTTCAAAAGTTGAGTTCGATTGAGATTTTCTGGTAAAGATTCGACGGCCCCCTGAGCTTGAGGGCCCCGGGGCACTGCCCCGCCTAGCCCCTTGGTAGCTACGCCACTGAAAGTTAGATATTGTAAAAAATATGAAACAATGTCATACCTATTTATTAATTTTCGATACTCTATTTACTTTTTTACGCTAAAAACAAAATTTGATTGTATATCACAGACAAGATTCAAACATCGCTAGTGACATCTAGTTTGATTTCAAGAACTTATTTTTAGTTTACTATTAGAAAGCGACAACTAGCCTCATACTTGACATCTCGCTCGGCTCGTTTTTCAGCTGGGAGTCTGTTACTCTGTTCTGTTATAAGTACTCAGTCCAAGGGTATAAACGGTAAAACAATTTGTAGGTACTAAACTCTTTGTCGTCAAGGCCACACTTATAATCAATCGAGTATTTATTAATCTAGATTCGATCACATTATTATAGGTAGTATCGATTCAAATCAAAATGATTCGATTTATCGCAATCGATGCAGGTCTTGCTTCTTTTCGAGCGTGAGTATTTTTTACTGCTCGCTCGGAAGTAACTGCTGTTTTGGTATCTTTTATTTACGTATAATTAAATTATAAAATTAATTGAAATAATAATTAGATACGTTATATATACGACGGCTTAATACGAAGCAAAATCGACTAAAATGTTTATGAGCTATTTAGAGCATTGGTATATATAATAAATGTTTACCATTTGGTTTTCAAGTTTTAAAGTGTCCCTATGTTCCTTTCTGGTATTTGTGATCACAATTAAAGCAGACTTTAGATATAAGTGTTTCAAAAATTTAAAAAGAATTAGATTTAGTAAACGATATGGAAGTCTCTAATGAAATAAAGGAAGATATTCGTAAAACGCAATCTGATTTAAAAAATGCGATACGAGTCCACCAGGTAAAGTTGTCACCTGTAAATAAAATATATATTTTAGAACCAAATAGATAATCGTGATTTTTGTTCAATATTTTTTTTTTTTGCTTTTAGGTTTGGGTTGCACGTCTTCAAGAAGATGAAAATGTATGTATTGGTATTAAGGTTAATGCTTTGGTAAGATTTAGTGAGTTTTTTTCTGAGTGTTTATATTTTTCTTATTTCAGAATATGCATCTCATCACAAAGGTTAAAGAAGCTGAAAAAGAAATTATATCCATTGGACAGACACAAGTAAGTGATATTATGGCTTTGCTATTGTCAGGATTTTTTATTTTATATGGTCATTGAAATATAATTTTAAGATGAGCTTTCAATAATTGTCTCTACTCTTTTTGTTCAGTATTTTAAAGAATTTAATATGGAAATTCATTTTTACATACAATATATAAACAATGAAACTGACTCTGCATAGTTAAAGTGAAATGTAATTTTATAAACTTTAATGGAAGTTGGATTGTGAATATTAATAACCTACATAAAACCTTTGCCTGCCAATAGAAGTAAGTGAAGAATTTTTCACTTTTTTTTGCTTATTGATGGCAGCCATATTTTTTAAGATTTTTACTGTGCTCTTTTTTAAAACTTTGTTTATATCTTAAAACCCACTGAAATAATTTTGATGAAACATGATGTATTCCCTAAGCCCCTACTCCCTTTCTTTGTATAACTCTGTTACAACTAGTGATGTACCATGCCCAGGTATATTGCCAAGAACTGCAAATTTTGCTCGAACATTTATTGGCAGCATTCCCAAAGTGGAAATTTACTGGGAGTATTGGATAAATCTTCTATATTTTTTAAATATTTTACGTTAATTCAAATTACATCATGATTTTCTATGTACTACAAACAAAAGTAGTAAATAAAATGTCATAAAAATCAAAATTCCCAGAGAGCTGCCAAAGTTCCTGGCAAAATTCCTAGGAATATTTCCAGTTTATTGCCAGCGAAATTTCCAATTAACTTCCCAATGGTGGATATTAAAGTAATTACCTATACAATACAATGTCATTACTGGAGTCAACTCTTTCAGTGGAGCATTTAGGAGCCTTATAAATAAATGTGTTTTCTTTCATTCATAAGTTTCCAGTTATGAGCAATATTGCAGATTCGCTTGCTCTTTGTAAGTTTGATTCTAACAGTTCTACAGTGGAAAGTTTCTACCAGTGACAATATTCCCAGATGTACATCACTAGTAACAACCCCAAACATATGATCTACAATCAGTATTTACAACTCTGTTATTTATAAAAAATATCTTTAGCATAGTCCGTACACTATTGGAAATATTTAAAATTTATTAAATATATTTTTTTATATTGTTTATTCAACTGTAGCAGTTATCTATTTTTTTCAAGAGACAAGTTTTCTTTGACTACAACATAGCAAATAGAAAATATGTGTAGAATACATGAAACTTTGTATTATTCATATTATACATCCCCATTTTCAGAAACTGGTTGTGGATAGACTCCGAAGAGAATTAGAACTATATCAACAAAGACTAAAAGCAAGAAATAAGCAAATTAATATTGAAAATGATAATCGATTTGTAGCTCAGCAGTTAAGAGAGCACCAACTTCAGTTTCGTAACAGGAACAGGACTCTATTAAAACCCTCAGTGCTAAATGAGATTCATGTCAAAACAGAAAACAATGATAATTTGAAGGACAGCATATCAGATTCAGATAATGAATTGAAATCATCCAATGAGAAAGAAAATTCAAATCACAGTGAATCAGACGATAGAGAAAAATTCAGAAATGAGTCTCATAAACCTTCAGTTCATGAGAGTAGAAACAATTTTGCAAATGCGCTTAATAAGTTTAAGGAACAGTATATGTAAGTAATATGAGTCTTAATTTTAATTCTTCTATCATATAAAAAAGGGGAATGTGCATATTTTTAGCATGCTTACCACATGCTTGCCTCCATTCATTATAAATTTAATCTCTATTGACTAGACCACTAAATACATTCAAAATTTGTTCCAGTAAGAATACTTTTTGTGTTAGGCATTATATTTATAAATTTTTCTAATTTAGTGAGAAGAAACTTCAAGAATGTGAATGGCAGGAACAAAGATCTGACTCAGACTCTTCTCATGGGATGGAGCTTTCCCCTACACCTTCACCTCCACCTTTACCACAGCCTGGAGAACCAGTTACCCAAGAGGTTTTCATGAGGTTAACTTTAATCTTCAATATCACATATAGTTTAAGTCAATTAAAAAATGTAATTAATAATATACTTTTTTAAAATTGCATAATTTTAAAAGTCCATAAAGGTTCACTGTGTTGTCTGTTTGTCAAGGCTTTAATCAAGAAATCAAGTGATTTAGGTTTACATGTAAAAATATAATAAAGCTATTTTTATTTCATTAAAATAATAAAATATAGTCATAACTAATAATTTATTATGAACAGACTCATCGGTTTGGTAACGCCGTCACAAAAGGAAGTCTTGGAAAAGAAAAGGAATGAACGTCGCAAAAGGTCTACCACCAGCACAAATAGAAATGATTTCTTGTATGGCAACTTCGATATGATGCCTGTGAGTATGCTTATGTACTGTAATATTTGTTTTGGTGTCATTGCTGCTATGGTATATATAAACCTTCGATGTTGATTACACATTTAATACATATTTGTCAATATTATGTTTTAAAAATCTCTCATATTACTTGTTGTTTTGGTATTAAAAAATAAGTCATGAAATTGCACATCAAACTTTTTTTAAGCGTTTTTCATTTAGAATAAAATTTACATTGAAATAAATTTGATTTTACATTGAAATAAACTGATTTTAGAGTCACAAAAACGCATGATTATCTTATAAAAACGCATTATTGATTTATATATTTGATTAAAAAAGTAGTCTTTGCCTGTGTATCACGTGACCTGAAACACTACACCTGCAATGGTGACACATTTCTACAGCTGCTTATATGTAGATTCCTAGATGACACTGTTGATACCTTATTTATATGTTTTTTATTTTGTGGCAAGATCATTGCAGATGGCACTGTTTGAGTCTGATTGACATATTTTAATATCATCCATCCATATCTTGGAAGGACGTCCACGTGATCTGTTGTTAACGTGGTCTACAGAAGATTTCCAGAAGCTGTTTTGTTCACCTACTATCGTCCATGCGTGTTACATGTCCCGCCCATCTTCACCTACGTTTGACAGTTACGCAGATAACGTCCTTCAGTCTCGTCTTCATTTAACAATTCGTTTTTCTTGCGGTCACGCATGGTAATACGGAGCATTGCTCTATGTGCAACTCGGAATTTCTAAGTCGACTTTTTAGTGAAGGACATAGTTTCGGCACCATAGGTAAAACAGCAAAATCATGTTGTTTGCTCCGAAGATTACCGAGGCTTGGGCTATATGTTTGATTTAAACTTCCTATATTTTGTTATATCAATTTTGAGTCCTACTCTTTGTGATGCGATTTTCAGCTCATATATAATGAACATCATTTCCTCTACACTTTTACAAAACAATGCAAACCTCAAGTTCATGATATATTCACCATCTATAAAAATACCTTTCTTGTCTCAATTAATATTTTTAAATATATTTTCTTGGGACGCGGTAAATAATTTCGGACATTAAGTTGCGCCTTGTTGTACTCCTCTCGCAAGGTGAAATTTGTCAATTTTCTTATGACGACTAACGCAGGCTGTGGCATGCTTTTATGGATATTTAACCATGTTTATATAGTGTTCTTTGAATAAACGCTATATAAGCAATAATATAGTTCATAGAAATGTATACATGTATACAAAATCTTAAATCTTTTTTCAGAAACGCAAAAAATATAATCAGTTCCCATATCTTCAGAGTCATAATGATCCACCACAAACGCGCTCAGCAAAGCTCAGAAAACAACAGGTATGATTAATATTGTTTTTATAAAAATTGATATTTTACCTGCTTATGTATTTATATTTTACTAACTAAAAACTTTTCTTCTTCTCAGAAACATCAAAATAAATCATCGAGAGAGGGCTCACCATCAGAATCATCTACAGAAAATAAAAGTATGTTTTAACTTGATATTTTGATCCTGTAATTTATATTGTAGTTTTTTACATTGTATTACTAAAAATATTCAAATTTTGTTATTTAACATTAATAGGTGGGAATGATGATTCAAATTAGGTATAACTAATGCCCGTTTTCACTAAACTTAGGAGTCGCCCAATTCTGACACTTAAATATTTGGGCATTATTTAAAGTGAAAATGTCTTTCACTAATGACAATGCCAACTAACGACTTTTAAGCTACGTTTTTAAGCGTCCTAACTTTAGTTTGGATATTCATTGTGCGACGCCTAGCGCTTGGCTTTTGTGTAATGTGACAGATGCATTTACTTTTTGACCATAACAAGTATGTATCAAGGATAAAATAAATGTATTCAGTTGGGATCAAACAGCGCTACTTATAAACAAGGTTTAGCGTCAGAGTAAATTTACGCTAAAATTGCAATTTTAGTATTAGTCCATATTCATATTACACAGAATAAGCAAATCTACTACCTTCTAGGAGAAAATATTACTACCGTAGAACCTCGTACTAGGATAACTTTTGTTAAGTCTCTGTTTAATACTATGAATTTTGACTAATACGAAGAGCAGTCTCAGCGTAAATTTACTCTAACGCTAAACCTTGTTTATAAGTAGCACTGAAGGAGTTTATATATTAGAATTAAGATATAAACAATTAGATTTTGAATTTTCGGACTTTTAATATATGGACAATGACGACTTGGAGACTCGTTTAAAAAGAACAAGAAAAATTATACAAAACCATGTATATTTTTTCTTGTTTTACTTTCCAAAAATATTGTCTCTTTACGTGTAAAGGCAACTAATGTGACAATGACGGAATTGTGTAAAAGCGAATAGCTGAAGCATACAAAATCATAGACAAACGTTGCCTATCTCAGCAAGTGCTTAGTATGGCATTACTTAACGTTACACGAAAAGAAACGACAAATCTGCATACGCTATTTTTAATATTAAGTGATTTCTGGATAAGCTATGCTTTGTTCTAGTTTAGTGAAAACGGGCATTAGCCTCTCTTTATGATAAAAAAAGACCATAATAGTAGAGGTTAGTGCTATTTCTTAGAACAGATCTACGTATCAAGTATTTTACTATACAGTACTTACATAAAGCACATATTTCTCTTCTTTTTAGTTTTTTAATAGCGCTAATAGACGATAGTCCATATCCGATCCGATAATTCGTATGTAGAGCCGTCCATTGTTATTATTATTGCTTGTACGGTGGTACATTGGTAATCCGCCCCTACCTGGTGAGGTCGGCAGTATGTTCGATAGTGTGGAGCCCGCGTGGTCCCTAGAGCACTGTTTTTTATCGGTTATTACACTGTTATTTGGATATCGATTCATATCATGACTGATATAATTACAATGACAAATTGAATATTGAGTATACAATGTTACTTTGGCAACGTTTTAATTCCCTATACAAACTTTCACTCCCATTTTTATCCCTTTATTTGTTGTTTTTCGGGATAAAATATAGCCTTTGGTCACTGCATATGATATAGCTTCGTGTAGGTGAACGAATAAAATAATTTAGTTTATTCGTTGCAAATAAACAAATCTTTCCTCTTTATAATATAATATCGATGGTAGGCGAAGTCGCAATTTTTAAATATCCGTATTTGAGATTATTGCCAAAATAATATCTATTGCTAAAATTATAACTCTGCATATGGAAGAATATTCTCTCAAGTTATTTAACGTTAATAACGTTAGTTAATGTAACGTATTTATTAATACATCTATTACTATTCTCTTAAGTAATAGATGTATTAATAAATACGTTACATTATTTTTCACGTTAAAAACGTAGTGAATGTGTTTTCTTCGGACCAACCGGAACACACGACTGCTTGTCTGGACACGCACATCACTGGACGGTCCGGTGTCCTCTCCGGTCGTGTGGTGATTAGAGCGTACTGGACTGTGTTTTTCCCGGACCGTCCAAGTTGGATGTTCTGTTAACACTATTACATTTACCTAGCTTTGAAAACTATTCCGTGGATTTTTGACTTTAAGTAAAGGTAGATAATATTCTAATTTACATTTAGTATTTACCATTTAGCTTTATGTAGGTATTGCGTAAACAAACAACATTCTCGTAACATTGATTTTTGAAACAGTATAAATTTATTGTGATTAGGTAGCTGGAGTAACAAACCAGCTTGGGTGGCATCTCTACCTGCTGGTCTATCTGTGGAGCCTGTGTATTCAGCAAATAAGAAAATTTGTCATAGTTGTGAAAGGAATGGTATGTAAACATCAAATATATTTTCCTTAAAAAGTCTGTCATAATAGTGTCCCAAACCGAAGCTAAAATAACATTACATTTCATCTAAAAATTTATTGTCGTTATGGCTATTTGGCCACAAACCACCTCAACATTTCTTTTATTTAATGTTTTTTTCAAGATGAAATAATGTAGAATAAAATATTTCATTGATATATAAGTATAACTCAAGAATATTCTTAAAAAAAAATACAAAATAAGATACATAGATTGTTTTTTTTTATTTATAATGGGCTCACTTTTGACGTCAATCAATAAAGGGCCCAAGGGCCTAAAAAAGAGATATACTGTAAGACGAGCTTGTCCACAAACTACAAAACCTATTCATACATATCTCAGACATTCCATCTCTATGTAATTTCACTTCACTTGTGCTATACGTAAAGATAATTTTAATTAAATTTTACTTTGATCATATTCAGCCATGCCCAATTTTAGTTGGATATTTGATTATTGCAATGTCAATAGAGTTTGTTTTTCAATAACGTTCAGATGTGCCGTCGCTGTTAGTGTGGTGTGTGGCGTGTTCAGTGTGGCAGCACACCGGTTGCGGTGTGGAGGGTAGCTGCACCACCTGTCGCACTCCGCTACCGGAGCCGGCGTGCAGTCCCCACGCGAATCATGAGCGCGACTCGCAGCTCTACCGAGGTGATTATACTACACTATAAGTAGTAAAAATTTTCAAATAATTGAAAATAATATTGAAATATTTGTAACGAGATTAAAACTGGTTTTCATAGAAAAATCTTATACTGTACATATATACTATTTAAATTATGCGCCTCGGTATATTTCGTGTTTACGAATTTAACCGATCAAGAAATCAATGTGTTAGCCGCCAAAACTCGTCAATACCTCGACTGTGATGGAAGTGACAGCACGCAATATTTCAGTATTAAGAATTGTATAGAACTGTAAATACGCCAAATTACCTTATTTGAATATAGGTACTAAAACTATTGGTTCCAGCAGCGACAGTAATGATTCTGAGTCTGAAATGTCGGGTATAGAATTCATATCAAATTGTGATTATTTGATTAATTTATATTAATTGATGAATTTTGTTTTATCAAAAACTGTTCTACTTACCTGGTGTCAGAAACTTATTTAGTTAGTACAACCGATATATCATAATTCGATTTTCTTTAATCTGGGGTTTTCATTTTGGTATCGGCTGATGGCAAGAAACACAGTATACTTTTATTTTTTTAAATTGGCTGACCTAATCTAAATTTAAGCGAAATGATTAATTATGTAATAACAACTCTATATAGATATCGTTAAAATACATTAGGATTGCCGAAGTTACACACACACTGACATTTACACACACACTGGCACACATACACTTCATACACACATTCATACATCTTACACACACATCTACACGCCGTACTAGTCTAGAGTAGTATAGTGGGTACTTACCTGGGGACTTACCTGCTGTGCTTGCTCGATGACTGGTGCGGCGCCGGGACCTCGGTAGGGCCGTAGCCGCGGCGCGACGAGAGGGGATGCGACCCGTCGACTGGCTGGACGCCCCTGTCTGCCCTTTGGGGCTGATACAGGGAGTGATGAGGCTGGTCTTCTGTGGCGCATCGACCTTCGGGGGGGGGGGGGGATCCACGATAAGGGCTATGCCTGTGTGGATCCTCCCAACACGATGGGTAGGGGTCCGGAGATTGCACAGTTGCGCATCTCTGGTCCCTAGTCAGGGGCAGCTGGCCGGTTCGCGCACCGGTCGGCATTGCACGCTCCTGCCTCGTCGTGGGGGTGCGTCTCGAATGTCTCTGAGGCGTACCCCCAACCCGAGCGGGACCTGCCCTTTTCAGGGCGGGCCGAAATGGGGGCGAACCGCGCGGTGTATGGCCTTCGGGCCGATCCCGCGCATCGCCTTCCATGAGAGGGACATCGCTGAGTTTTAGTGGGTAAACTTCTGTTTCTTGTCTAGCCCCTTCGGGGGTGGGGCCACAGGAGGAGTCCCACATCACCCGTGGAGCCCGCGCAGGGTGAAGCGGGTATGCGTAAAGCATTTCTCAGCGACAAAAAAAAAAAAAAGATTGCCGAAGCTTGACGAATATAGCCGATGAGCATAATTTAAATAGTATATGTGTACAACTATATTTCGTTGACAAATTGTTATAATTAGAGAATCACCTTTGCATTACCTTCTTTGAGCATTTGATTAATCTTTGGACATTATTAATCGCTTAAAATTGTAATTGAAGTCTATTTTAACGACAAGCACCACTGGGATATATTTTTCTTTTTTTATTATTGATAAATTCGTTATTGATTATTTTTTGCGATATTATTTTTGACATTTGTAATTATTATAATTAAAATATATAAATTTAAATAATTTAACGAAAAATACACTTCACATTAAATCATAAATTAAAATCTATTTTGTATTGTAATGTTAATTTAATTATAATGAACTAGCTGACCCGATAGACATTCTGTTTAAATTCATGGGAAATGGGGAAAAGACCAAGGGAAAGGTTGTTGCTGTGCCCTGACAGGGTTCGTGTGATGGTGCTCTATTTATGTAGAATATCTTGTATTAGCATATGATTGCAATAAAGAATTGAATTGAATTGTTAAGGGATCTCAATATGAACATTTTATTTTCAATATATAATGATTATTCATGGAGTACCTTATTGGTATTAATAAGGTACTCCATGAATAAATTTTTCAAACGGATTTGATAGTGTTTGTTTTTAATTTAAATAAGTCACAAGAAATCTTGCCCTTAAATAAACTTTATTTATGGCAAAGGACGTTATTCCGATGTGTACACAAAAGAAACTTATAGAGAATATTATCTGATGAATTAGATTTATTTTGAGTGTAGATATTTGGCCTTCCACTAACGTGATTGACTGCATGTTGACTGATATTTTACAGAAAAACGGATAGGTAGGATGTAGGATATGCGGATTTCTTAGTTCGGTTAAATTTAGTGTTGACTGTCGACCAAATGACGTGATGTAATTTATTAGTTTTTTTTTATAAGATAAATATCAATATAACAAAGTTGCATATCTTGTTTAGATCCCATGGAAGCAATAAAGATATTGCCTAATATAGTCATCTCCAACCAAGAGAAATACAATTCTCCATTGGTTGGGAATCAGCATAAAAAATTTATGTCGTCATAATAAATTGAAAAATGTATATATGTTTTTTAGATAAATTGGCTGAGCGTAAGCGGTTACAGGAAAGAAACATCGAATTATGTATAGAGTTGCGCAAACTGGAAGCTCGAGCTGCTTCACTGAAAGAGAACTTGGACGAGCACAACGCTGAGAAACGGCAACTGTTGGCCGACCAGATCAAGACACAGAGAAACCTGCAGAAACTTCTAGACTTCATAAGTCAGTTCAAAGAGACCTCGATTAGTATGCGCGCTACATCTGCCAGCGAGTCAGGAAGTGAAATGAGTAAAAGCAATGAGGAATGAAGTGTGAGTATTAGAGCAATATGTTTTATTTTACTTATACGGTACAAAATGACTACTACTACTTGTCTCTTGAGTACTTCACTCAAGAGTCAAGTAAACTAGAATTAGACTCGATAAACATATTACGATTACGCAGTTTGTGTACGAATTGAATGGCGTATGGGCTGATCGCGTTTTTATGGTCTGAAAATATGGAAAAAAATTAATTTAAATTTTCAATATACTTGGAACTTTTCATTTACTGAAAATTTCAAATTTAGACATTACATATTCAGAAGTCAAATACAGCAGAAAATACTTATTATTTCGTCAAAACTGTTAAGAGTGAGAACATTATAATAATATATCATGTTTGTTACAGCTGGCAAGGTCTGACTGTTTTTTTGTTCTTTGGGGATGCTCAGCAACTTAATCCAAGTAAGAAAAACCACGGAGGCAATTAGGAAACTAAGTATTGTTAAAGAATTCGTGCCACTAGTTTATATTGTATTATTAATTATATGATTCAGATGAATTTTCCTCAGAAAAGAGGTACAGAATATCAAATCGTAAGAAATAAAAGCGATTTGTTTTACTACTTAATATTTACGTTATTATTAATACTGTTTTCTTGTTAGATATAAATAAGAAACATAAAAATACATTAGCAGAATATTATATATGTTTTGTAATATGAATAGCAAAGTGCAGTAATTGCACGTCAAGTTATATAAATCGATAAATGTCTTTATTTATTTCAATTACAATGAATCAGAAAGAAAGTTCAAAATTTTGTGGTAACCGTATGTGTTATTGTCTTTCTACATTACATTACATTCTTTAAAGAAGAATCAGTTGAAATATTTCTAATAATCTATTTTTATGAACAAAACGAAGACTCCATTTAAAGATTGATTATTTGTACATATATATTATATTTAATCTATTTTGCTTTCGCAACCTATACTGCAAAAATCCAATTTGTCCATGGCACTCTTTTTCATTAAGGATATTTGTGTATATATATATATATTATTTTTTATTTAAGTCTTTTTGTGTTTCCATTGATTATAAATCTCTTATATTGGTGATTCCATAATTTTCAATCATTATTGAATTTCGTTCCCGCAACTGAATGGGTTGGTTTTTATCATATATATACATTGACATTCCCACCGTTTTATAAAAGTTATTGATTGAGATAAGCGATATAACACGAAATAGATGGTAACAAGATTGTTATACAATTTGTGTTTAGTGTTGGTTGTAATGAGGGAACGTACTTATACTACGTGAACTGGTCGAGATGGAGGGCTTTTATAACAAAACGTATTCTCGCTCATGGAGTTAGGGAACGGGGTGTAGATCTTTGTATAATAGTTAATTTCCGCTAGGGAAATATTTAAATTTTTTTAGCTATTTTACTGCTACGATTTAGTGTTCAGCGCTTTTACTTATTAGCAACAATGATGCAAATAGGCTTGGTTTTAAAATTTATTCTTGTTTTTATGTTAACCTACAATTACCGGTTTATATAACAGATATTAGGGGTGTATTTTTACCGAAAGCCCAAGGAGTCATGCCCCGAAAGGGGCGAGGTATGTTGCACTTGTTTATAATTTTTGCATGGGTATATTGCTTTTTACTTCTTAGTTTATTTTTTAATTATAATGCTACGCTAAATTATATTCTACAAGTCGCAAAAACATTGTTGAACACGTACGTTGAACATAGAACATAAAACTACATTTTCGGATACTAAGTATTACTGGTTTTTATAGATGCTTTATAATTATAGAAAAATCAAATGCAGTTTGTTAAATTTTCCAAGTTAAAGTTTTCAGAAAAAAAATCCCGCCTTGAGCATATATATCCATTCACTCCAAGCGTATGAGTACATTCCTTTAGTCTACTTTGGCGTCCATCTGTGTCCAAGAAAAATGCCTATGTTACGAGTATAAATATAGAAAATTATTTTTGGTACTACTTTAGCATTTTATAATTTTCATGAAAATATCGTAATAAGTGATATCAGCAACTAGTGGGAAAATGTGTGTATTAATTACCTTGTAACTTATTTTCATAGGTCAAAAAATAACTGGTATGTTTGTCGATAAGTGTTATTGCGTATTATTTAATCGATTTGAGAGCTACTTTTACTCAAAATATGATGACTACTTCTACGAGCATATCATTGTCTTTTTATGATTGATATAGATAATAATTGTTTCATAAGAATATGAATATTAAATGAATGGCCAAAAAGGTGTTCAATATTATGATTCCTAGATTAAAATGAGTCTTTAATGGAATATTATTTTCATAGTCAAAACTTAAATGAATTCTTATTTGATTGTTCTCTGTGATATAATTAATTTTTCTTTAGTTGATATTGAGATGTTTGTAAAAAACTATGTGAATAAATGATTTTAGTAATTCGTAAATCGTTTTTGAATTATTGTATTTATTAAGCTGTTCACGAATGTTTTACAAATATATACTGGTTTTGAAACGGAAAATGGTAACAGACACAGTAAAGTCTATGCCAATTCTAAAATCTTCTTTCCTTTTGAAACTTCTTGTCTGATTTGTGCAATACTGCGTTCCAGCAAATGGCATTCGTATTTAGATAGATCAGTAAACATTTGCATATTTGTTACACCATTATGGTTAACGTTAACAATACCAGAAAAAAAATGACTACCAAAGTCGTTGTTCTCTACAAATGCAGCTACCTTGGCCGGTCGTCCATCCAGAGCGTCGATGATTGAGCGAGTGAACATCAACGCGCCATACGCGACTGACAGAGTGGCCGACCATCCTTTCTTTGCTTCGATAATGTTTTCGTCACATTGCCTAAATCTAGATGTGAATTCTTGGATAGTCTTCTCATTCATTTGGCATCGCGGCTTGGCCTGTGACAGCAGAGGTATCGCCGTTTTCCCTGATCGCCCACCAATAACAGGAAGTATACAATCCCGAGGGTGTAGATTGTGTTCTATTGCGTACAAAGTTTGAGCTCTGAGATGGTCAACAGTTGTGATCCCAAATAACTTTTTAGGATCGTACTGTCCGCTACTCCTCATAATTTCTGCCGCCATAGGTACCAGAACATTGACAGGATCTGTGAGAATACCCACCATTGGTAAGGGAGATATTTTTGCTACCTTTTGAACGAGCATTTTAATAAAATTTATATTCGTAGCCATCCATGCATCTTCCGATATTCCAGGTCTACTTACTAGTCCTCCTGTGGCTAAAACAATATCTGAATCTTTTAAAGCTCTTTCTAAGGTCTCTTCTCCCACGTAACCTTTTAAATACGATTCTGCTGGGATATGTGATAAATCTAATATGACACCTGGCGTTTGAATCAGAGTGTCGTGAATGTTTAATCTAGTGATGGATGGTTGAGCTCGTAACATCAGGGATACTGTTTGTCCAACTTCGCTTGATCCTCCCACAACAGTGACTCTATAACTCCTTGTAATGTTAGTTATAACTTTTGGAATTAATTTTTTTAAAATTTTACTCGCCTGCATTTTGAATGTTACTTGGAAGATTTATGTTTTTGTTGAGAAAATCCGGAATTTAGTTTTTGTCTGTGAAATAATTATGGTGAATATGACTGAGAGTTTGTGATGGATGCATACATTTAATCTTTGATGCATACTCTCTACCACGAGATGTACCCTAGATGAAGTATTTTTTTGTAGATATTTTATCTGAGAGATGGTCGGTCAAACGCAATTTAATTTTTTTTTCAAAGTGATAGGCCAGGATGGTGGGCCGCAATAAAGCAATTAGAGCCCTGGGAGAATTAGGATATACAGAGTGTAACGTTTAGAATGGTCAGTATGGGAAAGTCTGATAATATAATACATACGAAGATCTATTTAAGGAACAATTTCATCGATTTAAGTGACAAAAAAAACGGCATTCATCCTTAAAATTAGAGATATTAATTATTAAAATTAAAAATAAATCGTTTCTTTTCGAAGAAGTAAAGAAAAGTATTACGATAATTCGAATGAGGTTCTTACTTTTTATAATCGTACTTTATTATAATTAATGAAATTATGGATTTGTAGAGTATGTTATATTTGCATAAGAAATTTTTTTCTCTGGATCTTTTAATTATTTATCAATAATGAAAATAATTAATCCTGCCTTTGAAAAAAAAAAACTGATGAACCGACAAATATTGGACGTTTAAGATAGACTGATCGACATGACCTTAGGCAAGACGTTGCTTAGCTATGTGAGTACGTAGTGTCTGCCAACTCTGCTTGGCAAAATATGAGATATGAGAGTAGCAGAAGTATCTACTACGGAAAGGGGGATCTCTTTCAATTAGGTAACTTGCGTAGTTGGTTGTGAACAAAAAACGAAGCTGAAATCTTTGAAAAGTTATAGCTTAAAAATTATATTTTGCTTTAAATACAGATTATTTTTATGAAATCAGTAACTTTTATTAAGTTAAATAAAAAAGCTTGAAAATTACCTAACAAACGTTTTAATAGGTTGGAAAACATACAAGCTACGGCTAAAACTATAGAGGGTGGCTTTAGTATCAGTTTAGTGTCATAGGAACAAATATTTCTTCAAAACCTTGAACCTTTCAAAAGTTTCAAAAATACTTCTTGACTTAAGTAAGACGCGCTCAGAGCTTTTTTATTTTATTTAAATTCAAAATTTACATATTTTATTATGGTTTCTTTACGTGTAAAGACCACAAACGTGACATTGGCGGAATTGTGTAAATGCAAATAGGCCATGAATTAAAAAAGAAGAAGAAGACTTAAGTAAGCTGACGTAGTATCTTCTTTTTGGTCAGTGGTAAGCTGTATTATTATTTTTTTCTTGTTAGTATTGAAAATAGAAAGATTTCAAGGAGGATGTGTGACAGAATTGTTATAACAAATTATTGAGTCAAAATCATGAATGGAAACTTAGTTTCCATATTAAAGTTAAGAAGAAGAAGATAATCGAAAGTACAATGTTTTGTCGATATGTCGTAAATAGCTTAATAACGAAAATACCATTAAGAAATATCAGATATGTGCAACAGAGAAATATTGAAGTGTCTGTGATAGGAGCTGCTAGTCCAATCGGATCTAATGTAGCTCTACTATTGGCCCAAAATCCGAAAATATCAAGACTTCATTTGTACGATGATGACGAACGAGTTATGGGGATCGGACTTGAATTATCATATATTAACAGAGGATCAAAGGTTGTACCATTTACAGGAGAGAACTTTCTACCGTCTGCATTACGTAACTCAAATTTAATATTAATGGTTGCTGGGACTGCACGAAAACTTGGCATCAGTCGAGATCAAATTCTCGCAGATAACGCACCAGTTCTACAAAGACTTTGTAAGACTATATCAAATCAAAATCCAGATGCTATCTTTGCGATCTCGACAAATCCGATCAATTGTGTCATTCCGTTTGTGAGCACTTTGATGTTTAGCTACGGTACGTACAATCCTTATAAAATCTGCGGTATAACACATGTCGATACAGCTAGATGTAGAACTTTTGTTGCAAGTGTTCTAAAAGCTAGCCCGTACTATTTGCAAGTGCCGGTTATAGGCGGACATTCCGAGGAAACTATAGTGCCTTTATTTTCGAATATTATACCATCTAGTTTTTGTGTTGATGCTTGTAAGGCTGAGGCCCTAACGAGAGTACTGAGGAAAGCAAGTACAGAAGTATTAAACCACAAGGCCGGTAAGGACTCATCCGTTCTGTGTATGGCGTGGTCGATTGCCGAGTTTGCTGATAGAATGGTAACTGCCTTGTGTGGTTATGAGTCCGTTGTCAATTGCTACTCTGCAAATCCACATTTTGGAACTCGTTTCTTTTCTGGTCCTACGATTGTCGGACCACGAGGCATCATACGCGTTTGTGGAAATATGCCCATGAGTAATTTTGAGAGTGGGCTTTTAAATAATGCTATTCCCATATTGAATAAAGAGGTGTGTTTAGGGGAAAATTACGTGCAAGTCATGGCATCTGCAGGAAAGAAGAGTCAGTAAAACAAGTTCTAACAAACAAAGCTTATTGTTAACAATCCTTCTTGAAATCATTCATATTTAATTAAAAAGTAAGTCGGTATATAACGGTTTTATTTAAAAACATAATAAAAAGGAATAAGAAATGAAATATTTGCGGAATACCCAATAAAAAAGCATAGGTAAAATAGGTTATATAATTTATTTCCAATCCTCTTGACGACCGCATTATCGAAGTCACTGTTTCTATTGTTAAGTTTGGCATCGTCAGTGAAAAAAACTGAAAGTGGTTATGGATTAAATAGACACTCGTTCTGTAGAATGTAGAATTTTTCAATCTAGTGTTTGCGACTGTATGGCGTATTATAAATTTAAACTTTCCTCTTGAATCACATTGTGTATTGCTAAAAACCGCATTAAAATGCGCTGCGTAGTTTATAAGATCTCAACGTACAAACAGCGGGAAGCATCATTGTTTTTATACTATGTATTATTTCATTTATCGAATGCTTCAGATATTTTGTTAATCAGCAATCCAAATGTGGTCATCCCTGCCAATATAATAATTGCTAAACTCTGTCCGTTTGTCTATTTGTTAGGTTTTCACTTGTAAACCACTGAAATGTAAGTAGGTACATCGAAAGATTACCTTTTATTCTGGAAAAAGGTGGATCGAAATTTTGTATTGAGGTTCGACATTGTCAAAGATAAAACTATGAATTTTACACAAAGTAACCATATCACATTACCACTTTGTGGGAGGAATTTTACTTGCATCAATCAATTTTTCGCTTTTAATCTTCTCTTATTTTCATTTTTATGTACTTGATATTCTTCCATTAACTATCATAAGCATACTATAAACGATAAGTTTACTTCTTATATACACAAGTATACGTAAGTTTACTTCTTATCTTAGTTATTTACAGAATCGAAAACTAAATTGAAGAGCATTTCAAAAATTTTTTACATACCAGAATGAAGTATTAAAAAAAATCACTAAAAAAGCACCTCCACTAGATGATGACTGTAGCAAAAGTTGATTTTTGCAGGAAACGAATGAACTAAATACAGTCATTTCAGTTCCTTTTAACTAACATATTAAAAAACTGAAATTGGATAAGTTCGAAACTTAGATATCAATACAAATTCAAAAAAGTACAAATAGAATATGAGTTGTTTATTGAGTTTTGAAAACTAATTTACTTTTAAAAATAAAAGCAAACCCAACAAGAAGGGTTGTCATGAATCATCTAGTTTGATTTCGGTCATTCATGGTTTTTTTAAAATACTTCCTCATTGCTGCCATTCTTTGAGTAATTTAATTTGTGATTAATATTTTATCCATCTTGGTTTACTATGTCCTATTTCCAATCAACGTTTGTTATTGTGCAACTATAGTGTCATTAAATGTTCACACTTCGGGTGTAACCGCAAATAAGGTTCGTAACGAGAGGGTTAAGTTTAAGATAATCACCGCCCGGCCATAGAGACCCGACGACGGGTGTAATGTGAATGTCGTTCGGCTCTTGACGACTATGGCTGTTAACTTGGGATGGTTACCGAACGGACGGGGACCGGTGATTATTGCAATGGGACCATTTATTACCATGGAACTGTTTGTGATAGCATGTAAGTGGTATTTTTTATAGTATGTTACGTTGTAATATAAGGATTGAAATCAAAGTATGAGGACTGACGTGTTTGGATACTATATGAATTCATATAAGGTTACTATATAATAGTCTGAAAAAGTAATAGACTGAACACAAAAATCCGTTAAAGTAAGGATATGGATATTTTGTCGCTTATAAGCATAAAGGAGGTAAAGGGTAGATATGCAATGGATTTGTTTGCGACATATTTGATTTATTATTCGGTTGGAAAAAGTGTTAGTAACGGTACGACTTGCGTTAAGTTCAGTTCTCAGGGGCGTCATTTGTCTGTGCAATCTGGTTTTGATATGGAACATTGGATTGTAAAGATTTTCTATAGGTAAATATATTTTTGTTGATTCCTGTTTAATATTTTAAATTACATTACATTCACCATTAAATATAATTAAATTTAATGGTAAATAAAAACACCATTGCCTGAGACAAATTTCACACACGTCCAGGAAATGAACCCAGGATTTGAAGAAAAGAGATGGCGACCCTTTGAAATTGTTGCGCTAACTTCTTTCAACCATTTTATAATTTTGTAGATGTAGATGCCGCGTTCAATAATTTAAATTATATTTAAATATATCATAAATTTTATAGATATTTATGTATGTATACTGAATAAACGTCATTAAATATTTCTTACCGCAGTTTAGAAAAACAAAAAACCACTGTTCGAGTCGGACTCATGCATGAAGCTATCAGAAAAAGTAAAAAAATACGGTTTATGTTATTTATCGAGTTATTTGAAATTGTTTTCGAGTTAAAAAATTGGTCGATAAGTAGCTGGTTGCACAAATGTCGATTACGGTTTAATAACTGGCTCTGATGCAACTGGCAACATGCAACTGTTAAACATATGAGCCAACTTATGTGTGATAATTTTACTTTAACTTCATTATATACTATATAGTAGGTATTACTGTCGTAACGTTTGAATTTTTACCAACGATCGTTTAGTTGGTAGAGGGGGGGACACTAACTAAAATTAGCTCTTTACAACTTTGAGCGAAAAACGGCCTTCCCAGGCGATAGCTACTTTACATATAGAGAAGGTAACCAATTTTTTTTATCGAATATTTTACCACTTTGTCTTCGTAATTAACGTGTAAACTCATGCCAAATCAAAACTTTCTAGTGCCAATAATTTTTGAGCTAAACCGCGGACAGATAGACGGATATGGCGAAACTATAAGAGTTCCTTGTTATATTTTGTACAAAATGTTAACATTTATATTGCGTTCATTTAAATTACAGAAATTCGTAAATATACGAGGTAAGAAAGCTTCGTATCGTCTACGAATTTTTATCTCGACTTGTTTGCAGAATTCGCCGTGGCAAGAATTGCAAATGGCGATAATTCCAACTACGCCAATAAATCAGCTACTCCCGTTCAAGTTTTTTCCCCGAGGGTGCTGCTACGGTACCATTGTTGGTGATTGATCGAGCTTACCCGTATTTAAACTTTCTTACGACATATGTTCTGAAGCAGTTACGGATCTTCGGTGCTCCAGGCGCTTGACTGTGCAGATGGAAGATTTATCTTTTTTTAATGATTCAATAAGGCTTAGTTGTTTTTCCGCATAGATCTATTTGATTTAAAACATTTGATTTGACTTAGAATTATAACTATTCATAGTAGATATAAAATAAAGACGCTTCCTTCTGTCTGTATGCTGAGATCTTTTTAACTACACAACGGATTTTAATGCGGTTTCATATCAATATATAAAGTGATTCAAGAGGAAGGTTTATATGTGTAGTACAGGACCACGTGGGCGAAGCCGCTGGCGGAAAGCTAATATGGGTATATTATGAAAAAATAATACTTATTTCAAAAGCAACCTATACAAGAAAATGCTATAAAAGCCGGACGGAGGTTTTCGTTAGGTTATTAATTAATTGATACGCGCCCGACTCAAAATTGCGTTCAAAATCAGTTCAATCAAAACGACATAATAGGATTTTATATCAGTATAATTAGTTTAATGACTTTGGTTTCAGGTTTTAAACTAGGTATGAAATTAAATATTTTTATGCAAATTACAGGAAAATATGTGTTTCCTGTAATTTGCATAAAAATATTTACCTAAACCTTTACCTAATTTATATATCAAATAATAAATAAAAAATTCATGGTTTCACATTTCTACCCAATACTTATAAGTAGGGTAAAATAATTTAGGATGAGAACAAACATGATAAAAAAATTTGCAATATGTTGTTGCTGCTGTGGCTGTTCCTGTTACTTCAGGGTAAAGAGTTATATATACCATACCTACTTATATTTGATCAGTTTTGTATTCACAATGTTATACAGATAAATGTGTTTAATGCAAAATGCTTAAAAACTCACCAGCTTTGGGTAGTCCGAGATTGGACTTGAACCCACAAACTTTGGCAGTCCAGGCACCTGCTCTAACTATTTAACTGACGAATTTATTTTTCATGCACTTATTACTTTCGCTACAACAATTTCAAAGTCGTTTACAAATTTCGTTTCTGATTTAAAACATCAACTTCTATTGGTATACTGCAATATGATATGAACGCATGACACGCAGGTTACCATCACACCTAATTTTCGGTATGAAATGCCTTTAATAATGTTAAATTACAATAATTCGTAAGAAAGGGAATACATTAAATATTGATGTCGTTCTGGGGAGGCCTTTGTTGAACTTGATGTATCGCTTAATACCAAGGTTTAGGATATGTCGAATTTGGGGGGGGGGGGGGGTGAGCGACCTGGTGACTCGATTACGACTTCCCGGCTCTCATCCCCAGGGTAGGGTACATCGTAGGGGTTTTTGTGGGTAGGCTTTCGGGAGCCCACCGCGCGGCTAGCCACGGGGTGGGTTCACGTAGGAGAGTCCCGCACACCCCCTGTCACTGCCAGGTGGCAGGGTTAGTGCCTAATGCATTTCTTCGACGTAAAACAAGGATACTTTCCGGATTGTCCGAACATCAATAAGATAGATACTCATAATTTTTTTTATACATATATAAGTCTCAATATTAAAAAAAAAACAATTAAATATGTTTAACCAAATATTAAAACAAGTAACGGATAATATCTTTCACGTGCTTAGTATAAGTATTAAAAAAAATGTACTATGACAACTTTTTTCTAAAAACTTTCCTCTGATATTCGGGAAAATCGGAGTAGGAACCTTAGATCGCCACGCCCTATCATTAATGTGGGATCTGCATTTTAACGATTTTTGTTTTTTTGTATAAAACCTCATAAATGGGTGTAAGGAATATTATCATTTATCACAAAAAGATAATTGTTAATTTTATTATTATTACGAAGATAATTACGTTATTAATGTCGGTAGTGTCGCTTGTGTACGTACAAAAATGAAGGTATTCACTTACAGTCAATTTTGATCGGACATTACCGACGAGTGGATGCGTCGATCTTGCGTCGACCTGCCAGTTACATAGTTAATGTCGGGAAAAATGCACGTAGGTTCTGTGGCGAGCTACCCGCTCCAATTTTATACTTGGGCAACCGCCCTACATTTCGACGAAGAAACGCTCCGCTTATGCGCTTTGGGCCAGCGGCGA